CCCCTCCTGCCCGCTGACCCTCCCTGCCCCTCCTGCCCGCTGACCCTCCCTGCTCCCAGCATTCCAAGGTGCACTCAAACACCACCTTCCCAGTAAAGCCTTCCCTGAGCCACACACACATTCCCAGCATTCCAGGGCCTCCTGCCCTCCTTTCTTTTTGCCACCATAACTATCACCTTCTGAGAGACCATATCATTTAATTATGTTTGGTCCGTCTTCCCTTGCTAGAATGCAAGCTCCATGCAGACAAGATTTGTTTTGGTTTCTTGGGTACACTTAATGTATCCCTGGGGCCTACAATAATTTAAACACTTAGTAGGTACTCAGTAAATCACTGCTAATGAATGCATTGTTCTGAACATGTCTGACTGACCATGTTTCCCCTTCCGGAAAATATAAGTATTCTGTAAATATTTTTACTTTGCAGTATTACTTTAGGGCTTAACAAGAAGAGAAGTAAAAACCTAACACAATGCCTGACACAAAGTATGTGCTCAATAAAGACTTGTTATTAATCTGGGAAACCTTCAGTGTTGCTAAACCTTCAACAGTGATCTGAATGAGGCAGAAGGCTGAAGACTGTTGTATGTATGCATCAAAGTCGATCTGCTGTTCTGATCTATCCTTAGGGAGGCTGCAAAAGTCATCCTCAGCACTGCTAATTAATTTTCTTGAGTGGTAAGTTGCTTCAGATCTCAGAGGGATAGAAGGCACCCTACGGCAAATCCTGCTTAGAAAGGCAGGAGTCTAGTCTAAGCTGCTAGAAAGAATCAGCCCTCATTGTTCCAAATTCCTCTCATCTCATATAGCGGAGGTATTAAAGGGGTCTAAACCCAAGGGGATGACCCTGACTAGTCTCCCATTCGAGGCTAATCCTGCCATCTGGGCCTCCTGATGGCCCGTCAGCCAGAAGACAGGAGGCAGACATGGAAGAGAATACATGTTTATAAACACTGGTTGAATGGCTGAATGAATAAAAATACTACAGCCTGGGGAAGGGTGACGGAACACTGGCCTGCACAAAGTAAGGGCAGAGAGGAATAGGCGGTCCCCGCTGTCTGGAACCTGGGCTGCCCACCTTCTTCCCAGTGTAGGGCTGTTTTACTAGCAGTGGGGTGACAGAAAGCCCTTCATGCAGTGCAGGAGTCCTCTGAGATCAGGTCTGAGATCAAGCCAGAGCCCTGTGATTCACAAAGGAGGAAACTGAGCGAGGCCCAGACAGGTTCTCGGACCTGCTGAGGACCACGCAAGCCGGGTCTCTCCTATACCAGTCCTGGTCTGTGTCTCCTACAAACCTGTGGTGTGGAGTTAAGTGGCCCCACGAGAGTCAAACCTCTGACCTCAGACCTGGCAACCTGGTACTCAACACTGGTCTTCTTGCAACACACAGGAGCAAGGCCAGCCATCAGATCACCTTGGGCTGCATCTGTGGGTCTGTTTTGTCTGGAGCTAACCAGATGACACCAAGAGCTGGAGGAGAGCTGGCCAGGTCCACAGTCTGTCCCTCCCTCAGTTAAAATTCTCTGAGAGGCAGAAGGGCCATCTCCTTAGTGGAACAGGAAAAGGAGGGGCTCCGGAACAGGGAACAGGGAGGAGAAAGAGAAGAGGCATCAATGGGAAACTGTGGTCAGGGCCCGTACAAGAACGAGAAATCCGTTAGCAGAAACAGAAGGTGACAGCTTGAGTCAGCAGATCCGAATGTGTGGAGGGAAGAAATGCCCAGAAGACTGTTCTGCTATGAATGGCTTTTTAGCAGACAGGACGAAGAACAGGGACAGACACTTCTTTACTAGACCCCTGGCTTAGTCTCAGAGAGCCTAGCCCAATGTTGTTCCACGCCCAGAGCCGACCCCTCATCCCCCTCCACCTGAGGATCACCATCGGGACCTTATGTTTATGCAGGTAACGCCCACTATTATTCAATTATCACATCTTTATTAGGCAGCTAGGTACAATGCACGATGCCAAAATACTCCATGATTTTTTTTTTTAAATGAGGGCATACAGTCACATGGAAATAAAAGAATATAAAAAGATTGAAGATTGAGTCTTCGGGAACTTATAATCCAGTATCTAGAGGAACCCCCTGAACATGGAGAAACAGACTGAAACAGATAGGAGGGAAGAGTGTCTTGGCAAGTTGGACGGGGCAGGGTGGGGGAGAGCCACTTCTAGTGTGGAAGCTTTCATGAAAGTGGCAGCATTTGTACAGGGTGGAGTAGGCAGATACAGACAGGGGTGGGGCAGGGAGGCAAGGAACATACAGATGGACAGATGGCACACATACCATGCGTGGGTAAAGGTGACTGGGGAGGGGGCGTGGTAGTTAGGGTCCTATTCAGGAAACAGCAAATGTAAAGCCACTTAAGCTTAAACACAGCAGATATTCAGAAAAAAACAAAAACAAAAACAAAAACAAAAGCCAGACTGGGGTCAGATCAGGGAAGGATCTGGAAATCTGTATTCTACCGACAAAGTGAACCAACTGAAGGTTTTAACCTGGGAAGCTACATGATCAGAGCTGGGCTTTAGGTAAAGTAATCCCCCATGCGCTCCAAGGCACTGAGGGGGCAAGACCTTCATTCCCCAGCTGAGGTCCTTGGAGGCATGTGTGTTTCTCCTGGCCCCCACCCCACACCCCCTGCTCTCCATTCCTTTTTTCTCAAACTCTAGTTTATGTTCTTTTTTAAAAATCTAAGGCAAGGTAACCAAAACAAACCCAGGAAATCAGAAGGGTCCAGACACAGGCGAAGGGGTATTCATACCTCTCTTCCTCCCCACTAGGAGCCCAGGAGACTAGCACCCTGCCAGGGGAGGGGAACGTGAAGGTATGAAGTCCCAGAGAAACCCACACAGGCTCCGCTAGAAAGGATGTGATGCTTGGGAGCCCAGCAGTCAGAGGCAGTAACAGAACTTCAGGGTTTCCATAAACATACGCATTTACAAAGCAGGCTACCATACACACTCATTCTGTCCCCATTTCCTTCTACCTTTCAGAGATCTGGGCGCCTGTGCGGACAGAGGCATGGCGAAGGGCACGAGATGACCCCTGCTACCCTCGCCCGCACAGCAGAGCCGACAGGGTGCTCTAAGTTCCAAGGCCCCTACGGCCTCTCCACCAGTCCATCTGCATTCCTAGGATGCTCTAAGTTCCACATGTGTGGCCTCCAATGCCCAGGGCTCCTGCTCTACTTCCCTGCCCCCCGTGGTCCAGAAGTCAGGATTCTCCACTTGGAGAGGCTTCACTTGCCCAGCTCCGCTGACGCCTGGCCTTTAGAATCTACAAGCCTTCCTCTAAGAATTACAGAAGCCAGAGAAGGAGGCCTGGGACAGAGAAGAGGGAGGGTACGGTTACTCCAAGGACAGGGGCTCCTTCTGTCAGAGTTAAAAATAAACTCTTAGCAATTTACGCCCAACTCCTCCCTCCAGAAGCCAATGGGCCTTGGCAGATAAACCTCTCCCTGCAGAGAAAATGAGGACCCAGGGGCACAGACAGGAGAAAGCAGTCCACGGAGACATGGTCCAGTATGTAACTCTAGCTGAAGCCAGAGGGCCCCCCAAGACCTGCCTCAGTTCCTATTACTCTCCCTCACACACCTCTTCTCCCAAACAAACCCCAAGCTCAGAAAAAAAATGCAGAACCCTGTTTGCACGGTTAGTACAACTGTCCAAGGATTAGATAAATCACAAAGAAAAGAATGCCAAAGTCAAGCTAGAAGAAATACTCTACCCAGTATCTATCAGTCACACAGGCACCCCAGCTACCCGAGCCCCTTTCCCTCACCTGCCCAGGACCCCTAAGCAGTAGGGCAAGGGGCCACCTCAGTGGACTTCAGTGGACACAGATCACCAGTAACCCCGCCCCCCCATCAGGAGACAGAAAAGACCCACGTTCTCTGTGACATACTGCAGGTGGCGAAGCTGGAAAGGCCAGAGGGGCCCTGGCCTGACTCAGGAAGGAGGCCCCGAGAGCCAGGGCCCAGTTAGCTCTGGAAGCCAGTAGGGTGAGGTCACACTTCTGAGAGTGGTAACCCGAAGCCCTGCACCGCAGAGGCGGAGAACTTAGCTGGGCAACAGGGCAGGAGTCCCGGGGCAGGTAGCGTGCTCAGTCACAGGGTAGCCGGGGAGAGCGCCTGGGACAGCCTCACTCGGGGCTCTCCTCCTCCTCCCCACACCCCTTCGGGCAGGGAGGCCTGCGTGCCAGCAGCTTGGAGGAAGCCAGAGCAGGAGGAAGCACAGGGCAAAGTCGCATGGACTCCGATGAACTTTCGCACCCTCCCCCTAAGCCATCCCCTGACGGAGAAGTAAGGCAGCTCCACCGAGCCTTTGTCTTAGGGCCAGGGCTTGGCAGGTGGTTGGGGACAACCTGCCTCTCTGAGCGCTAGGAGTGAGATATGACACCCGGAGCAGCGCCAGCCGTGGCTCACTCCAGGCTACAAGAGAGGGGGGCAAACAGGGAGACCAAGTGCAGGGAGAGAGACTCAGGTCCGCAGCGTGGCAGGAAGACCTGGGGCCGACGGCGGGGCCGGGCTGTGAGGGGAGACTGCGGCAGTGGTAGGTTTATTTTTAGCTGCTGGGACAGAGGGGCTGAGTAACAGTTCTAGGCCCTGGGCGGGAGGCCAGGTTGCAGATGTCCCGTGTGTGGGCTGGGAGCCTGGTGACACGAGGGATCATCACAATGGCAGTGAAGTGACTGACGCCATCACCTGCCACGGAGGGGTGGGGGACAAGGCGCCCCAGAGGAGCGTGAGGTGGAGGAGTTGGCAGGGGCTTGCCAGTAGGTCAAAGACTCAGCGGAGACGAGTGAAGCAGAGAGAAGGCATCAACAGTACAGTCCCCTGCGTGCCCCTCATCTTCTCTGAGACAGAAACGGCTTCGAATGGTGGCCACACAGTTTCCGCCCTTAGCCACCACTCCTCACCTTCCAGATGAATGCTACATGGACACCAGCCACGGAGATGCCTGGGGCGTCCCTCAAGAGTAAGATGCCCTTTCGTATGACCCTTCTGGGCAGCTCAGGTTCCTAGCAGAATAAACACAGGGCTTGGCCAGTCTTGGAGGGGAACAAGAGTTACAGATAGGGTTTGACCTTGGGGCGCGCCCCAGCCTCTCCCACCGGCGGGCTAGCACACAGAGATGTTTACTGGATCAGAGGATAAAGACCCCAACACTGCACTGCCAGACGCCACCGTGTCTTCCTCCTCCAACCACATAGGAGCACACAGGACCCCACAGCCCAAAGCTTCAGGGCTAAAACTACTGCTTCAGCGTTAAGTGAGCAGGAAGAAGAGGAAAGAGAACAGACAGCACCAGGCATCCCTCTCTCCTCTTGCTTCTTTGGACTTCTGATACCCAGTCTTACACAGCCTTGGGGAGGGGAGGGGGGAGCGAGTGGTACCTAGACGTAAATCCTAATCTCCTCATCGGCTTTGGGAACAGTCCCCACCTCTCACCTCTGAGCAGCTCCCAGCCCACACCATATCTCTGGGTGAATTAGAAGAAGGCATCCATTTGGATGAGCCCAGCCACAAGCCAACACAAAGCCTGCCCAGTGGACAGTAGGTTAGATCGCAGCCCTCACTCCCTCCCTCAGCCGGGTCACAGCGGCCATGTTTGACCCCGCACCTCTAACGGGAACGAAGTTTCAGACAGAGAACATAAAGAATTCCTCATCTCCACCTTGAGACATCACTACACTAAGATTCTTTCCACTTCGAGGTAAGAATAGATGGGCACCCCACCCCCACACCTGAGTTACACAGCCCATCCTCTGCTGAGGTGCTACCTGGAACACTTTCCAAGTCTTCACACAAGAGAAGGAGCAGCTGGTCAGTGATGATTATTAATTAACTGGACGCAGCTACCCTAAAGCCTAGCATCAAGCCTATCAAAAGGGCATCCACTCTGGCCCAGGCGCTGCCGATGGTCAGACATGGAGCAGGTCAGCAAGCCATCCTGCCAGCTCTTGGCCTCTTGCCCCCCCCCCCCCCCCCAGCCTCCCCCCCCCCCCCCCAATACCACTGCTCAGGAGCAACTGGTAGCCTGTACCTCTGACACGCGCACGAAAGCCTGGAAAATTTAACTGACCTATTCAAGGTCACATGACCGGTTAGAGAGCGCATAGACGGGACCCCTTTTTTTGCTTTCTTCTCTAGCACTTAACCAATAATAAGAGGCTCATCTCTAAAAATTTGTATCCATATATATCTTAAAATGCAAAATCCCTCTAATGACGAGAAAAAGTACAAAATCTGATTTGGGTTACACACCTGGTGTACATCAAGCTGCCCAGTGGCATGGCCCCTTCTCTTTACCAATGTCCCCATTTATGAGGTGACCTACGTAGAAAAAGCCTAGTGACCAGTTAGTGGAGCTCAGTTTTGCAATGCAAGGGCCATAATCCCTCTAGCAACTAAAAAACCAAAGGAACCCAGACTAAGAGGATGTCCCAGGGAACTGTGTCCCTGATGAAGACACAGGGTGAGACCCTGGACATAGCGCTGACCCTTTCCTGACTGGCCTCGCCTTCCGCTCCAGTGAGATAGAAGGAGTCAAGAAAGATGACCAGGGAGTGTCATCAGCTTTAAGGTGCAAGGAGGTATGGGTCTCTTCACCACCCGGCCTTCCATCATTACCCAGAGCAGCTGCGGCCCCTTTGAACACAAAGAACAATTCTGCGCTGCCCGCTCACCTCCCTCCTAAAACACTGAAGCACCTGGAAGGGTGCAGTCCAGGGAAGAGAGGAAAAAAGAGACCCTACATGGCCCCTGGAAGAACCTGACGCAGAAGAAAGGAAGCAGGACCTCAAACCACCAGGGACAGTTCTGTATCAGAGCATGGGAGGGCCTCTTGGGCCTCATGGAAGGACTCCAATGCAGATGCCAATGCCCTGTCCTTCCCCACGGTGGCTGACATTCTTCCTGGCACGGCCTCCACACATCCCTGGCATTTGCGGGTGTCAGGAGCTTTGGCCCCTCCTCCAACCCCAGGATCTGGCCAGGGATTAAGTCTGCAATCCCAAAGCTTGGCTCCTCCAAGCCTCTCCCTGAATCCCTACACCTCCTTCTTAAGGGGACTCATCAACTGATGATGGGTCAACTCCTCCGGTCCCAAGCAGTCAAAACATCTTAATCATGGGCACCAATACCTTAATCCTGCTGAAAAGGAGCCTCTTCATTTCCCAGGCACCCACCAATATCTGGTCCTGAGGCCTGGGGCTGCTCTTCTCCTCCCTTCCATCAGCCACTGATTCCAGATCTTAGCTGGAGATTATTTTCAAGCTCCATCAAAGCCCAGAATTCACAAGTGAAAAAGGACCATGAGTTGACCCAACTTTGATCCGGCCTCAGTGGACGCCAAGAGTCCGGCCGCAGTCAACAGGGGCCAAGGCCCCACTAGAGGGAGGGGTTCTCTGAAACCAGAAACTAGGCCTCCCCAGTCTGAACGTCAGTGATTTGTCACCCTCCTTTTTGTTTTTGTTTTTTTTTAAGATTTTATTTATTTGACAGAGACAACGCGAGAGAAGGAACACGAGCAGGGGGAGAGGGAGAGGGAGAAGCAGACTCCCCACTGGGCAGGGAGCCCAATGCGGGGCTCGATCCCAGGAACCTGAGATCATGACCTGAGCTGAAGGCAGACGCTTAATGACTGAGCCACCCAGGCACCCCGATTTGTCACCCTTCTTTACAACAGCCTGTTAGTTTACTTCATACCCCTCAAATACTAGAAAAACTACTTTTAATATAAAGCTAAGTTCGGTTCAATTCTGGGCCACCAGCCCTACTCACTTCTTGCCCATCTGATCCCCTATTCTCCCCTCAGAGCCAGCGTCACCAGCCCCTCTTACAGATCTGCTCAGACTTCAGAGGCCCAGCAATGAGACCGCAGCAGCTCCTAGGATTCTCACAGATTTCCCTTCCAAAACTCTTCTATCCCCAACCACACAATTTCACCTCTAGACCCGCACAGTCCAGTAGAACTTTCTACCAGGATGAGTATATTCTTCCGTACTATCGAGTTCAGCAGCCAGTAGCCACATGTAGCTACTAAATACTTGAAAGGTGGCTAGCTGATTTTTAATTTAATTTAGATTAATTATTTTTAGCTTAAATAGCCATGCATGGGTATTGGCTGCCATATTGGACAATGCAGACTACATCTGTTAATGCCTTCTCCAAATTGGTTTCTTGACCCCCTAAATTTTAAGGCACTTTATATGTCTGTATCCTCTACACAACCAAGCATATAGTAAGATCCTCAGCAAACTGTTAACAACCTATAACCACAGTGAATGTAAAAGAGGCTGATTTGGGGCACCTGAGTGGCTCAATCGGTTAAGCATCCGACTTGATTTCAGCTCAGGTCATGATCTCAGGGTCTTGAGATCGAGTCCCCCCTCAGAATCCGTGCTGGGCCTAGAGCCTGTTTGAGATTCTCTCTCTCCCCCTCTCCCTCTGCCACTCCCCACCTCATGCTCTCTCTTTCTTTAAAAGAGGCCGATTTAGTCAATGAAACTTTCCTCACCATGTGATTCCATCCAGCAAACCCCATTTTGTGACACTGCCCCTCACGCAGCCATGCTACCAATCTTGCTCCCCAAGAGGTATTCAGCATGAGGTGTGCTGGATAGGACGCTGCCTGTACTCTGGGGCAGGGGGAGCTCCTGTGTCTCCCTCTGTTTCCAGAACAAGCATGGGAGGTGCCAATTATCTCCCCTTTGGAACACCAAAGGAAGACACACCACAGTGACACAAAGTGACCTGGGGAGGGAGAACCACCAGAGAAAGGAAAGGAGAAGACATCACAGGACCTTGTTTTCTCTAATCCACGCAATGGAAAGATAAACAGAGATAAGGTATGACAACAATCTATATTTTGTAAAGTAATAATATGCTTCAACTAATCAGAGTCACGCAGCAGAGAGGGACAACAGTGCCAGCTTTAATTAAATTTGTTCAGCTAATACCCAAGAGTCACCATGACACAGTGAAGCAGGAAGCAGCTGAGGAACCCCCACGGGAATACAACCAATTATATTACACAAGTGGGTTGAGACTAGGTGTCCTCACCAAAGAAACAGTTAATAGAATTCCTACGTTCTTAGACAAAAAATAAGATTTCTATCAAATAACTCCCTAAAAGGGGTGGAGATAGTATAAAAAATTTTTTAAGAAAAAGCTTCTTACCCGATTTAAAACTCATGAAGCTGCTGAGTTGGTATATAAGCTGCCCCTCCAACCTCGGAGGCAATAAACACCCACCCGGCACCTCCTCGCCAACTGTCAAGGGGCTAAGAGAGTAGCTCCTCAGGCGTGAGGAGTTCCACAGCAGCAGCCGACCCCAGGTCCAAGCCTGCGGACATCACTGCGGTCGTGAAGTGGGAAGAGGCCTGAGACAGGGAGTCGGGCGTCCCGGGTTCTAATCCTGCCTCGGCCAAGTGCACAGCTCTATTACCTCAAGTGAGTTTTTGCTCTGGGTCTTGGTTTTCTCATCAGCAAGACAAGGCGGTTGGATGAGATGACCTCTGAAGTCCCTTTACGACCCCGACGAAGTGTGAGTATGACCCAGAGCGAAGCAACAGCAGGCCAGAGAGATGGTGAGGTGAGGTCATGGCACCCACTAAAAGCCCTGAAGTGTTAGCTCTCTGAGGTGGAAGCAGAAAAGCAGCAGCTCGAGTTGGCCTTTTTTTTTTTTTTTTTTTTTTTATTTAAAGCACTGATTTCACTTAAGAGGACTAAGAGGTCACCAAACCACAGAAGGAGGGGCGCCTGGGTGGCTCAGTCATTAACCGTCTGCCTTCGGCGCAGGTCATGATCCAGGGTCCTGGGATCGAGCCCCACAGCGGGCTCCCTGCTCGGCGGGGGGCCTGCTTCTCCTTCTCCCACTCCCCCTGCTGTGTTCCCTCTCTGGCTGTCTCTCTCTCTGTCAAATGAATAAATAAAATCTTAAAAAAAAAAAAGACCATAGAAGGAGCAGGGCACGGTAGCCACCACCTCCCATCCACTCTCAGAGCTGTGAAACAGCAGAGGTCAGAACCCCATCCGAGGCCCTGCTCCAACCCTACAGCTCCTGCCCCAAATCCCCAGGAACAGCCTAACACACAATGTAGAGTAAAGGTCTGATCCCTTTTCCCTCAGGCACCTTCCCAATGGGGCAATCCGTGCTAGCCCACAACATCCACCCCCCTTGTTTTATAATCAAAACACTCCTGGTTTTGAAAATCATTTCACTACTCAGCACCTAAGGTTAAGTTCATCAAGATTCAAGATCTAGAAATCTCTTTGGTGTATGTCTCAAACAGGATTCTTTGGACCAGATTCCCCCCAAAAGCTGTAATTATGTCTTAGCCAATATTTGGATATGGAAGTGCTGTTGACACTGCTGTCAGTCTCTGAATGCCTCATACCTTCTTTCTTCCTCTATTATTAAGTTTCTACACAAAGATGTGTGGGAATCTACAATTTAACAGTTGAGTCAACTTATAAGATCTGGGAGCAGACTGCCTGTCAAAACAGACTTGACTTCAATCTTCACCCACTTCTAACCTGAGGAGAATGAATTATGAGTGTTATTTAGAATGCTGCTGGATTTTTCCTTTCAAAACTATTTACAAGAGGGAAATATCCAAATCTCTCTCCTATTCATTATAAGAACAGAAATCTGAATTAAAACAAATCCGAACTGCCATCCTAAAACATTTTAGCGTGCAGTTTTCTGTGTCATTAAATAGAATAAAAAGAAGTTGAGAGCTTTTGTTCTGAAGTCTTTATATAATATTCCAGCTATCCAAGGGAATGAACAGCCATCGTCCCCAAACTGCTGATGGGTGAAGGCAGATGGCCTCTCAGAGGGACAGAAAACTCTCCCAGAAAGAACGTCTGTCACTTGCTCCCCGGTACAGGTTAACTGTGGTCAAACAGTCTTCACTCAACTCCACTCCCCAAGGTCAGAGCCACAGTGAAACCACGACTGCTCCTCCCTGTCCCCCCCACTTATGAGTATGGAAAAAGTGGTCTAAGGCACAGCAATCATAAAGCCCACAGCAACAGCTTAAAAACCGAAGAATCTGACAGTGTTGGGGCTAGCTGAAAGCTCTCCCCCCAAAGGAGGATGCAAGCAGCAAGGAAATAATTTTAGAGGCCTTAAAATCTGGAAATTGGACCTGCTTGCCCTCTGCAACTGCAAATGCCAGCTTTATTACATCTAATTATCTATCCCAACAGTTCCACCCATCACACCGATCTGAGTCGTGCATTAGTAGCTGAAAGACAGCTAGCTGAGGGGGGGCGCGGGGGGGGGGGGAATATAACACAGGAAGTATTTTTCTTCTCTTCCAATCATTAAGACGCCCCAGGGGAAACAGGCCTGATGTGTCACCTTTAGAGATGTGGTTTGATCTGAAACCTGTCTGAGGAGAAAACCTTTTTAGTGACCCTGAACATTGGCTCACAGGGCACTGGGGACCCACCCATCTCATCAGACCTCCAATCCATTCTGTTTAACTTCTAAAATAGGTATTCTCACTTAAATCCTCATCCCCACCCCACCCCCAACCACCACACCCCCTTAGAAAAAAAAAAAAGAGGCTGGGTTTCCCCAGCTCAAGGATAACGCTCCTTCCTACTGTCCACCAATCGCCTATGTCCAGGGCTCAAGTGGCCATCTCCGATTTGCGGAATCAGCACCCGGCCAAGCCGTGGTTTAGACACCGGGTTCACAATGATCAATGGAGCTATGGAAACAGCAGACATCGCGCCGGAGCCTGCTGGCCTCCCATCTGGAGCCTCACAGGCACTGAAGGTAGGAGGGGGGCCTGCTCTCGGATCAAAACAGTCCCTCCCCCGCGCCCGGGGGGAGGCGGTGTCCCCGAGGAATCTCCAGCCTGGCACCTCCCGGGCCGGCGCGCCCCAAGGCGGCACGGCCGCGCTCGGGAGGCCCAGGGAAGTGAAATCACACATTCCGGCTCCCAAATAAGGAGCGAGGCTAAATAAACCTCTGCGATCCGACTTCTCCAAACTAACCGACCAACCAGCTCAATGAGTAATGGGCCTTTTGTGCCCGCAGAAAGAAGAAAGGAGGGAGGCGAGGATGGGGAACCACACACTCGAAAATCACTTCCTTGAGCCGGGGTGAAATTAGCAGAAGTGGTCCCGAAGCCAACCGTTGCGCCTCGGCTGGATCCCGCTCAAACCCCAAAATGGCAGAGTCCTCACGAGTCCTTTCGGGTCCCGCCACTCACACCCGGAGGTGACCGGAAACTCGGTCTGGCGGCGTGGTCCGCGCGGACCTGACCTTCCCCGCGGCCCGCCCGCCCCCTGCTGCGCACTTGGCTCCCCTCGGGCTCCCGGGACCAACAGCCCCGCCGCGGCCACTCCTCCGCGGCCCGGTCGGACTGACGTCGGGTCCGGGAAGGGTCCGCGCGATCGCGCCTGGCGACTGTGAGCTTCGACTGCTCCGCAGGGCGAGGCGGGGGTCGTCCCCGGGAGCCCTCTCCCGCCCCGTGCCCATCCTCCCCTCCCCCGGCCCCCGAACTTACTTTTAGGGCGAATTTCTCCTGGGTCCTCTTATTGAAGATCTGCAAAACTTTCCCGTTGATGCCCAGTCCCAGGACCTGGGTGGTGACCTTGTAGTCGTCGATGATGGCGTTCTTCTTGATCTGCAGGCTCGACTTGACATGGAACTGGGGAAACTGCTGCGGGGGCTGCGGCGGCGGCTGGCCCGGGGGGTGAGGCTGGGCCGGGGCGGGGGGCTGCGGCGGCGGCGGCGGGTTGGGAAACAGCACCGGCGGCGTCTGGCCTTGGGAGTTGGACAGCATGGTGCCCGGAGACACGGGAGCAGAAGCGGGAGGGCCCGCGGCCGCCCCCTCCTCCAGCTCCGGACGGGGTCCCCGCCACCCCGCGCCCGGCTGCGAAGTTTGCTCCGGGCTGGAGCCGGCTTCCCCGCCCCGGCCCGGCTCCAGGCTCGGCGGGTCGCGGGGCTCCGTGGGTCCCGCCGTGCGCCGCTGGCGCCCACCAGCCCTGCTCCGTCCCTCCCACCCTCCCCCCGGGGGCCTGGAGCTCGGGGGACCGCGGGACGGCGGGGGCCCGGCCCGGGGGGGAAGCGGCCGCGCGACAATGTACCCAGCCCGGGGGCCGGCGGCCGCGTCACAGCTTCGTCTGCGTCCGGGGCCGGTCCTTAAAGGGGAGGGTCGGAGGGGCCGGGCTTGGGGAGGCGGGGCGGGGCCGGGGAGGTGTGGGCGTGGGGGAGGGGCTGGCCTTAAAGGGGAGGACGCAAAGCACCCGGAGTGTGGAGGGCGGGGCCTGCGGGTTGGGGGCTTGCGGGGCTGAAGGACAGGGAATGGGGGCTGAGAAACCCTAGTCCGTAACTGATTAGGGCCACGCAAAGGGAAGAGGGAGGCGTATGAAAGTAGCAGTATAATTCAGATAGAAGAGCCACTTTCTTCCAATTGTCTGTCTCTCTTAGACCGCAGCAGCCAATTGGGAGAAGGGGTGTATTTTGAAGGCGAGAGGTGGCTGACTAGTAAGTATTAGCGACAGGAGACCTCGGGATGAGCAGGGATTACAGAGAATTACAGAGGTCCTTCGTCCTCGAAATAGGTGCGAGGCAAGTATCAAATATTTTCTAGACCATTTTCCTCGGAGTTTTGCACTTCTTTTCTCATACATTTGTTTTTCAGTTAAAGATTTATCATTGTGTAATTAGGAAGAATGTAGCAACTATAACTTTGAACTTTTTTCATGTAAATGAGCTAAAAAAAAAAAAAAAGGAAACTGAGTGGGAAAAGGATAGACTGACCTTCAGACTTCGCCTGTGATCCTGAGCAAGCCATTGCTCCTCTCCCTCAGCAGGGAAAATAGCAGTACCTTCCCACAGGGGTGTGGAGAGAATTAGATAAGACAATGTCACAAAAAGGAAGGTCTGGCAACTAGGTTCTGATCTCCAGCGTGGAAGAGTTAGTCCCTGAACTTGCACCATTAGAAGTGGGTATT